CACTACCTCTAGAGTTTTCTGCTGTGGAGTTGGAATCAACCTTTAACTGATGCTCCAGTGGATTTCCAAGGCTGTAAATTGCCCTGGAAGAGGCTTCCGAACTTTCTTTTACAGAGTCGCTGGTGGGATAGAACCACTAGAGAGGGTGGGTGTCGGGTTAGCATCATGACTCTTTATGGACTAGGCCACTCGACCTTCCTGTTTACACACAGTGAGGCTGGTTAAGGTTGTTCAATGGCTCAGTAACATCACATTCATTATTGTTTTTATTTTTTTAAAAATGATCTTTGTGTCTGATTTTAAATAATCTCAGTTGATACATTTTAAAATTCATTAATATTTTCTTCTGCAATGGCCAACTTGCAAATATTCTCATCTATTGTCTTTTCCACTTAACAGGTTTCCGTTTTCATGTTTAGAAGATAGTATTTTGTTTGTTTAGATACAGTTTCCATGTCTTCACATACTTTTGAACACATAATACAAAAGAACTGTTTCAATATCTTTACATATGAATCCCAACATGTGTCAATTTTTATTATGGGCGAATTTTTATTGATTGGTTCTTCTTCTGATTCATGTTTTTTTCCTGCATTTTAAAAAATTGTTGGTAATCTTTGCTTGGATGCTAGGCACTGTGATTTTTGTTTTGTTAGGTGCTGAATATTTTAGTATTCTTAGTAATATTCTTAAAGAGCCATGGGGTGCAGTGGTTAGGTGCTCAGCTGTTGATCAAAATACAAACAGGGCTCACCATCTGCTCCATCTAATAGGATAAAGATGTGTCAGTCTGCTTCTGCAAAGACTTAGAGCCTTGGAAACTCTAACGGAGCAGTTCTGCTCTATCCTATGGACTCACTACGTTGTTACGTGCTATCAGATTGAGTATGAATCATAGCAACCCCATGGACAACAGATCTGAATCCTGTCGTATCCTGGACCATCCTCATCATCTCTGCCATACTCAAGCCCATTGCGGCCGTCAAAGTATCAATCCATCTGAATGATAGTTTTCCTCTCCTTTGCTGACCCTCCACCTTCTAAAGCATGATGTCTCATTCCACGGAATAGCCCCGCTTTAACAATATGCCCAATATATGTGACATGCAGCTTTGCCATCCTTGCCTCCAAGGTGCACTCAAGTTACACTTTCCCCAAGACACGCCTGCTTGTTCTTTGGGCATTCCTTGGCATAGTCAGTGCTCCTCTTCAACACCACAACTCAAAGACATTGATTCTTCTTCTGTCATCCATTTTCACTGCCAGTTTTCAAATACATAGCAAGTGACTGAAAAGAACATAGCCTGAATTAGGTGCACCTTAGTCTTTAAACTGATATCATTGCTCCCCTGTACTTTGGAGAGGTTTCTGACAGTGGACTTTCCCATCGAAACATGTCTTTTTTTTTTTTTTAACCATCTGATGTCAAGGGTATAATCAACTGAGTAGCAATGAGTTTGGTTTTCAATAAATATCCTCTCAGATAAAGTTAAGTGTCTTTAAAATAATTTTATCATTTTCAGTCTTAAGTTTTGTTATGCAGAATTACACATACTAGTTGAGAACTAATTATTCCTCACTGTAAGAAGCTGCACTGCAATCCCAAAGGTATGCAGGTTGAATCCACTAGCTGCATTGTGGGAGGCTGGGCAATCTCCTCCCTTGTAATTTGTTGTTGTTGTATGTCCTTGAGACTCATAGCGACCCTATGTA